GAAGTTCGACAGCGTGATCGATGCAAGATGATCGTTCCGGTCGAACGACGCCTCGTGCCGATCCTCCCGTGGCACTGTCTGCCACCGTTCGTCCAAGCCCACCCTCCGGGAGAACGTAATTATGCGATGGACAGTGAAAAACGCGTGATCGATTTGGCAGCAATTTTTTCCCCTCCCCTCCTTCTCTTCTTTTTCTTTTCGCTGTAGTTTCCCTACAGTGATTCATCTCGCTATTCTCTTTCTGCTTTCCCGGCTCGTTCGTGAGATCAATCCTTATCGTTTAGCAGATGACGACGGGACTCACTCAATCGAGTTACAACTTAATTAACAACAAGATTCGCGCGATTTTTGACTTCTTCCCGAAGGAATCTCAAAGTCAACCTCTCAATTAAATTACGAAATCTGAGTTGACACCGCTATAACTTTCAGCCTGCATTTGCGACTGTGTCAATTGAATTTATATACACGTGTATGTTTGCACAGTACGAAACATGCAGAGAAATCTAAAAGAATATTCTTTAAATCGACGAAGCAAACGGTAAACCTCGAAGTCGGTCTTCGAAGAATATTTTTCAGCGATAAATTAAGCACGTTGCTTCAGCCATTCATTGTTGCAGCTGTAAGAGATGGGAACATAAACGAAATTTATTGACCAATTAGGCTTGACAAATTCGATGCTCGATCTGCCAGTTTCTCTTTTCACCTGATTATCCATCTTTCACGTACAACTTTTTTCTTTCTTTCCTTTTTTTTTTTTTTTTTTAAATTCAATTTCTCGCCGACGAAATCACGATTTCTACAAAGATTTCTAAAAGAGCCAAAGAGACCAATTTCGTCAATTTGCTTGCGACAATTCCAACGACAACGCGTGAAATTTTATTCCTCGGGGAGAGGCGATCATTTTCGAAGTACGATTACTGCGAACGACCCTGCAAGAGGGAAATTAAGCCTCTCCAAGTTCTCAAGCGCGCCAACTCGAATATCGTGTCCAGGCGCAATAAATTTCGCGTAATAGCGCGATAAACCTCCGCGATAAATCCATTTCTCTTGCGGGGAAAATCTATCTGGCGGCACTGGTCGACAGGGACCATCGTCGTCCGTCATTAATCTCGATCCTCGACGTCCGAGGAATCGGAGGTGGCGACAGAAGGAGACGGAGGAACGAAATCCTGAAAATCCTGAAAAGAATGAAAGGAAGGAGATACTTCTTCTCCCTCGAGTCTCCGACGAATTTACATTTTCACGGAGAACGGGGCGGCTCTCGACCGTGTGTGTGCGCGCACGATTGTGTTCCACATAGTCGACGGAGTCGCGATAAATTACGGTACCCGCGAGCACTCAATTATGCACGCGAGACTGTTAATCGAGATACGGGGGAAACGGTGGATGTTAATAAAGCGTCGTGCCACGTTGAAAGTGTTCCCAGCGACGTTTAACACGCCGGCTATCCGGCGATCTACGCTAATCGAGCTCTCTTCCGATGCGCCTCAGCCGTCACGCACGCGCTTATGGCCAAAGCGTCAAACCTTTGACCCCCGCGCTTTTAAACCTGTTGCTTTCCCCCGACAACGGTGTTTGACACGTGTCGAATAATTATTAGGGACGTCTGCGATTTTTGTTCTGAAAGGAAAGCGAGGCTATCAGGTTTCTCGTGTTTCGAGACACTTGATTGAGATTTTCGAAAAGTAGTATAACCTAGCGTTCTTTGTAACGAACGTGTAGCTGTGCTACAATGAGATGTTTGGGCATCAGTTACTCTCGAGTTTCGAGATACTTATTCGTTCATTGAGATCTTTAAAATATAACAGAATTTAGGTCTTCTTTATAAGAAATCTGTATAATCAGCTGTATTCGTGTTATTGAGATCTTCGAAATATAATAATTTAGTTTTCTTTGTAATGAATGTGTAGCTATATAACGTATTAGGCATCAGTAATCTTCCTGTTCCGAGACACTTATATTGATCATTGAGATCGTTAAAATCTAATTACAATTTAGTTTCATTTGTAATAAGCGTGATTAGTATCAATTTCATACACGTTTTAAAAGTAATTTTACATAACTAAATCTATCATAATCTTAAAGTCTAAAGTCTTCTCTTTACAATGAGCCATACGATTTTAAAACTAACTATATGATTTTTTTTCGCCGGTTTATTGAACTTTGAACTTTAAACTTTGAACACTATTGAACTTGAACAGAATTAAATTTAAGGATAAACTTGAGAATAAACAAAAGGATAATTCTTGAATACTTAAATTTTTGAGTTTCTGTCATTTAATCCGGTGATGTTTGAGATTCAATAAAATGAAAAAAAATATATACCTATATATATATATATGTATATACCTATATTTTTCAAGCTTAAATCTTCAGAACATCAAAAAAAGAAAAACAATTTCACGAACCTTGAAAATGTTTAAATTTTTGCAACTTTCAACAACAAGAGTACAACCCTTTCTTTTCCACCAGCTGCACGATGATCACGTTTTCCAAACATCTTTGAAAGAAAACGAAGCAATGGTTGGTAAAGTAAAAGTTTCACGTTCGAAAATGAGGCTCACTGGATTGTTTCGCGATTTCGCTTTGCAATTACAACTACAGTTTAATGTATCGGCAATTTTTCATCAAGCGTGCGAAATACTTTCGTCCACCTCTGTCACGCTACATCACACGATTACAGTAATCAATATAAAAGCGGGATAAACTACCGGGCAAAATTATTTCTCGAAACACGACAGACATTTAAGTTCGCAATGTCGTTACAAAAAATCGTGAAAAATCGACGTTTCTTCATACTCCAATAGCGTGACGCAAGTTTTTCTTTTCCCCGGGGACAAATGATACCAATAATCGCCAAAACGATTCTACGATCATCTCAGCAACGCCAGTCGCTGTGTCCACTCGACGAAACGTACGAAGAGAGAGAGAGAGAGAGAGAGTTTAGCCTCTCCGCGAGACGAGAAGTCCAAAAATGATGACAAACGACGCCCGGAAAAAGCGCCGCGGCAAAAATCGAGTTGGCCGATTTAATCGCGGGTACACACGACCGGGACCGTCGGTACATCCATTCTCAAGAGACATTTCGATCAACGTCGCCTCATCTGGCGCCTGGTAAAAAGCATCGCGACGAAGAGGTCGCGGAATAATCCACAAAAAACGCGACTCTTTTGCGGGCAAAAAATAGCTTCGTCGAAGTTTCTCGACCACCGGGGACGTCTTTTATTTCCCCGCATGCGAGCGTGCTCGAAAGAAACGCGAGGCAGTAAAGACGACGCTATGGAGATTTCTACGATATCCAATCGTTGCGCATGTATATACAAGGTGTCCGTCGGCCATCTTCAATTACTTGGAAACAATTTCAACTAACAGTGACGTACTTTCATTTTCAAAGGGATTTATACGTTTTTTTTTTTTTATCAAAGATCTTTTATACTTATTTTTGTGTTTTTTTTTTTTTTGAGAAGAAGAGCCCTCGAAAATTCTTTGCAAAATTTTTCAAATTTATTCCCAAGTCACTCTGTGTTATGAGTATTTTCATTTCGACGTAAATATATTATTCAATTATATTAAATAATAATAATAAATATCTCTAAAATAATAGTAATAAATATCATTAAAATACTAGTAATAATAAATATCTTTAAAATCCTTCAAATTTATTCTCAAGTCACTCTGTACTTTTCAAATACAAGGCTGTAGATATTTTTATTTCCATGTAAATATATTATTCAATTATATTAAATAATAATTATATGTTATATTATTATTCAGTATGAATATATTTCAATATTCTCAATTGAATCTGACGCAATATGCGATTATAAAATATCCAAAGTAGCTAGAGATGAGATTTGCAACAGATGAAACTCTGTTTCTCGGGGATGGTGTATCAAAATTTGCAGTTGGGTCGTCGCGAGTCACATTTGGTGAAGGGATGAAGCTTGAAAGTTTCGCGGTTACCGACGGACACTCTGTATGCAACGTTTCCACGCACGTGAATCACTGGGGAAGGCGTTGCGGGATAACTGTGGAAAGCGGTGATTTTTCTCATGTAACACGGCTTTAAGACGCAGATACTAATATGCCGTGTGTTCAACGGCGAGGCGCAACGCGTCATTCTGCATTAGCAATGCAATAAGCGCGATAATGTATAGTTCCAATGGCGGCGGCTATCCCTCGAGCGAATGCGTTTCGGTATTTTTTCCCCACTCGCGAAAGGGGAGAGGAAATCTCACGTTTGGTAATTGCTTTCTGTAATAAACAGCGAGGACAGCCGGCGTTTTCGGTACAATTATTCGCGGCAAAATGGATCTCTTTCTCGTGTTCTTGAAAGAAAGAAAAAAGAAAAAGAAAAATGAATTATTCGATCGAGGCGTTGGCAATTTTTGTTCAATGACTGGCTGGGCGTGGCTCGAATGATCTACCGCTGATTGTGAATATGCAAAAGGCTGTTCTGAGAGCTTGGTCATTCGAAGGAACGGCAATCGCAGCTTTTCGTTATAAAATCAGTCGGCTCTGAAGAACGATGCAGGAAGAGAAGAACCTCGATTTCCTCCTCGAATCTTTTCTAATGTTTGATCTAAGAACCTCTAAGCACTTTTAAACCAAGAGGACTTCATATTAGAAAATAAAACTGAATAATGTCGTCAATTGGACATTCGATTCAATGCGTCTTCCGAGCTCAGATTCCGCGCCAGCGAAGCAACTATCTTCTTAGAATCCTCTTTACTCTACCACCTTTGGACAAGAGCCAAATAACTCTCTCAATATCAACGTATGAATGAACGTGCTACCGCGTTTAGTAACTGCAGATACGTAATTATAACGTTGTTAAATGATTCATGATACGTTTCGTGTCAATTATGAGAACGAAAGAGAAGAGAATCAATTCAGAACTTTTCCACAATCAATTATGCGTATACTTTTGTTTTTTTTTTTTTTCACGAACGAATTACTATTAAATTCTCCCGATTATACTGATAAATATTGAGACTCACGTGGACCAAAGTTCATGAGTGGGCGGCAGTTTGACGTCAGCGGTGCTCTTCTCTGGCAGCTTGTAGTACTCGTAGACATAAGAGGCAGCCGGATCGTCGCTGTGGCTAGCGACGGCCGAGACCTGGTGCTGCTGCTGGAGATTGAGCATCGCCGCGGTCGCTACCGAGAGCGGATGCTCGCAGTAGGTCCGCCAGTCGCCCTCCATACCCTGCACCTGCACCTGCACCGCAGCAACCCTCTTGTGTACCTCGGGATCGGCGCCCTCGGCGCCGCTCTGCAGGGACTGCGCCGCCTGCGCCGCCGCCTCCTCCGCCCCCAGCTCTTCCTCTTCCTCTGCCTCCCGCTGCCCCGCAGCCACGTAGCTCGGCTGCTGCTGCTGGGAATTCTCGTCCACGCCTCCGCTCGTGTCCTCCTCGCCGCGACTTCGTCGTCTGCAAAATCGACAATTCATTCGTTTCTTCAAGACTTAGAACTTTGCCTCATCATTCCGACAGAATAATTTATAATAAAACACGCAACATAATCGACGGCGTGTGAGAGGTTACGGAGACGCTAGTTTCTTAACAAAACCAGTTATTTTGGAAATTTTGTACCTCTGTTTTTTTTTTTACGTTACTTTGGGAATTTTGTATCATTTTTTATTTTGTTGTCCTCCCTTTGCCGGAAGAGCGTGACAATGAAAAATCGTCGATAATTTAAACTGAGGTAAATGAGTTTTAAAACGCGAAATCTTTCTTCTGACAGTCGTGAGTTTCGAAGATGATTATGTATGTATGTCTAACAAGGGTGGAAAAGTGAGGATACTTTCTTCGTGAACATTGTCGAAATTCAAGCCGTTGAAAAAATTTTTTTCGTAACTAGATCCACTCGTCTCCCCTTTACAAAGACTCCTTCAAACTTATTGTATCATTTTGTTTCTTACAGAAATTTTATTGAACGTTGAATGTTAGCGTTAAACGATAAATGTTCAAGAAATTCTAACGTTTGATCATGATGTTCAAAGTTCGATAAAACGACGAAGGCAAATCGTACGAGCGAGATTTAAGAGATCGTCGGAAAGAGAAAATTTCAATTTTCACGACTATAGCGCATCAACGTTTAAATTTTCCATTTTCGACCATTACCTGATGTAAAATCATCTTTGAGAAGAACGAACTCAAAACTGTCAAGATAGAAGCTTCACACTTTAAAATGAGACCAATTTCTTTTACAAAGTATATATTAGTTTAAATTACTAACAATTTTTCATAGTCATTACGCTCTTCACTCGTAAGTATTTGCTCGTTCGAGTGTTCAATAAACTTCCCTCCAGTGAATACAAAAACATCGACCTTCTTGGCCAAAATTAAAAATCGTCAAGTCGACAAGCTAACTGAAAAAGTTACAACCTTGACAAGGTTTAAACGATCTGAAGATCGTCAAGATCTTGGAAACCCTTTCTCCAGCGTAACGCAACGTCGTTAAACCTTTTCTTCGGCTGCGCGTTTTTAACATTCGCGCGGAATACCTATTCCTGTAGCGTCTCGAGCGTTTCCGCGTGTCTTCAATACCCACGTGCACACGTTGAGAAACGTATTTGATCGAGTGGACAGTAGCCGAGGAGCGCGTTTAATCCACGAGGCGGCTGAACAAGCGCGATTCTCCGCGGATTTCCTGGAAGATCGGTCGGCAATGGAAGAGGCTCGCCGTGGAAGGAACTGCTAGAAACGAGCGATAAATCGCCGCTGGCCCGTCGAATTTATCAATTAACGATAATCGCGGTGCGTTAAGCCTCGCTGATGATTCCTCAATTTAGCGACGACCACCTGGACGCGCGCAGGTCCCATCTTCGCGCCACACACGCACGTCGCGGTAATTTATCGTCGCGAGGCAACGTCTAATCGCCTCTCGGAAGGTCTCGCTCGCGCGCGAACTCCGCCGACCGGCTGGATATTTGTCACCGACGGCGGAACATCGGACGAAAGTGGCTAAAGATGAAGAAACACTGGGACTACAGTGGCTGATTTTCGGAAGGGCAAACTGAATTTTGGACATTTTCGTATTCGATGGATTCTCGATGGAGGAAATACAGTAAAGTTGAAGTTAACCGCGCAATTTTCTCTCAACGATTTTACATTTCGTTTAGGCAGCCGTGAGAGCGATGTTACGATTGATAATTTTGCTTCTCAGGTGTGTGTGTTAGAATTTTTCGTAACGGCGCAGAAACTATAATTATCAAGAAAAAGACTAGAGTTCAGCCACTTGCGCTGGCAACTGGTTTCGCGGACCGTAACGAGTGACCGAACCTTATACAATTATTCGTCGTTTTCTTTTTCTTTTGAAACTCGTAAACTTATTATTTATTTTGCCTGGATTACATTTAAATACAGTTACTGGATTACATTAAACACAGAAACCGGATAGAAATTATTAAGAAGTAATGAACTTATCATTTATTTTGCCCGGATTACATTTAAATGCACTTGAAACTGAAAAAAATGTTGCAATTTGGGACAAAAATATGGGCAAAAGACGCATTACAGAACAAAGCAGTAATTATTTAATTTCAAGCTATTATTTTTTAACGATGTCAAAATTAATTTAGAATGAAAGATTTTGTTTCAAATATTATCAGTATTGTTTATGTATAATAAATAAATTTTTATCATTTAAATTATAATACTATATTTAGAATCCTTGTTATATAAATTATATGATACCATACAATAATACTAAATAGTGAGAAGCAATATTTACCGTTATATTTAACGTTAATTTGATAACAAATGTTACAGCGTTCTTCTTATCGTGTACGTCCCCACGGTAGGATAAACGCCTATGTTATGTTATTAAGATGTCAATACATGATTTTATAACATTTTCAAAAAGCTCTTCGTTTTACAACGAACAACGAATAGTTTTGAGAGAAAATAACATGGTTAGCTTCGTATGGGACACCCTGTGCGCAACATACGGATGCAAAATCGCGAAGAAAGAATTTAGATGTCGATTTAGACGAATCGAGGAAAAATTTCAAAGGAGATTGGCTGATGTCCGAATATCTTGATTTCTATTTGGACCCGTTCGACTTCTAGAAAGAAAGGGGATTGAAGAGGAAAGGCACGATGCGCGCAGATGCACCCGGAACTCGAAGAGGAACTTCGCCGCTCAAGCTCGAAAGCACGGGCGAAGGGTGAGAAGCGAGGAGAAGGGGGTGGGGGGGGTGCTGTATATACATACACGCACGAAGATTAATTATTATAAACCCCTGCCTTTTGCCTACAGTCATCAATTTATACTCCTCCGGTGGATCCCAATTCCAAACCCAATCCCGATCCACCGTGAGCCTCGCGCACGGAATAAAGGGCTCATCCTCTCTAATTTATGCATGTCGAATCAATCTCCCTCTTCCCCTTCCTCTTTTTTTACTCTCTTCTCCCCTTGCTCGCCGTTTCCTTTCCTCGCCTCTCTCGGAGAGAGAGAGAGAGAGAGAGAGAGAGAGAGAGAGAGATTCTTTCCTCGTTGCTTCGTTCGACTTGGTCGCGTTCTCGATCGCTGCCGCAGGCGCACCTGGGGCCAGAAAACCAGGTCGAAACGCGAAACCGGGGAGGGGGGCAAGCCACCCCGATAATGAGGGGCCCGCGTTATCCTGTGCAAATATTTTCCTCGACGTGTGTTTGCACAGGCGCGGCGCAGCATTCGGGCGCGAATACGCGAGACTCGACGGGTCGAGTTTGAATTATAATCAGTCCATTCGTGATCATCCGAGCGGAGGCTTCCCATCCGGGCAGGGAATTCGGCAAACAGAACCGTCGTGGAAGAATCGCGCTTCGGTTTTTTTTTTTTTTCTCTCTCTTTTTCGGTCCACGGAACGTACAAATTTGACGAAGTCGCGATACGACGATGATATATTTCAATGTGTTGCGATGTTGAGATTGCTTCTTTGTAATAAAAATATGTTTATGAATATTATAAAAGGTACAGCGGGCACCCGCGTATGCAGCGAGAATGATGAAATATATCATATAAAATGATTAAGAATAAAACGAATATGGATAACACGATACGTGGCTCGATACGGGAAGATAACAGAAACAACGTATGAAATCCGTGGAGTCACGCCGTCGCTCTAACACAGGCACACATTCCATATCGTTGTCCACTAACATGAGAAAATGATAAAATTCTCTCGTACAAAAATTTCGTCTCTGCGAAAGCTTCCTTCTCGAAGAGAAAGATCGGAGCGAAGCGACGACATCGAAAAGGAAATTTTACACACAAGTGGATGAGAAATAAAACGTGCAGATCAGAACCATTCATTTCATTTTCAATGTGCTGAGAATATGATAAAATTCTCTCGTATAAAAATTTCGTCACTCGCCGAAAGCTCTTCCTTCTCGGAGAAGAGATCGGCAGCGAGGTCACGACATCGGAAAGGAAATTTTACACACAAGTGGATGAGAAATAAAACGTGCAGATCAGAACCATTCATTTCATTTTCAATGTGCTGAGAATATGATAAAATTCTCTCGTATAAAAATTTCGTCACTCGCCGAAAGCTCTTCCTTCTCGGAGAAAAAGATCGGAGCGAAGCCACGGCATCGAAAAGGAAATTTTACACACAAGTGGATGAGAAATAAAACGTGCAGATCCGACCATTCATTTCATTTTCAATGTGCTGAGAGAATATGATAAAATTCTCTCGTATAAAAATTTCGTCACTCGCCGAAAGCTCTTCCTTCTCGGAGAAGAGATCGGTAGCGAGGCCACGACATTGGAAAGGAAATTTTGCATACGGATGAAAAACTCGCGCGTTCAATTATCTCGCAAAAGAAGCACCAAAAGGGAAGGAAAAAAAGGGGGAACATTGACGCGTGAAGGAGTATTCTCATCGTCGAACGCCGATTCACAGCCGATGGCCATGCGAGGCAAATCGCAAAGTAACCAGGCGTAACGGAGTGGAGCCACGGCAAAAAGCCGCGCGGTGCTTCGTTTATCTCGACTACGCTCCCTCGTTCTCCCTCGAAATTTATTCCGATCTGGAATCGATCGGCGAGCGTCATTCGTCCCGGTTGACTGTTCTCTCTTTGCTTTCGAGAGAGAGAGAGAGAGAGAAGGGAAGAGGTTGAGAACGAGAAGGAGGCAGAGAGAAAGAACGCGAAGGCGTGAGGCCCGGCCCCCGGTATTCGTGGCTGGCGATCGTCAGAGAATGCATTATCGTGTTGTTGCATCCTGTCGTTCCTCTGCACCTACCTCAACGTGCAAATATTGCCGGCAGATGGAACGTACCGTGACGAGATAAAGAGGAGAACACGCCACGAGCACGAACGCGTTTAATATTCCGCGGGAGTGTTGTCCACGCGACCCAAGAACCCACCCTGTTGCTTCTCTCGCGTGCATTTCAATAAAGCCGCCTCCGTCCGGCTATACAACGCTCGTCCAGTTTACTTGG